AAAAAAAAGACAATGGAGTCGGGGAGTCCGTGATAGCGAGATATTTGATCAAGAAATAGATGAGCGAGGTCTGGAGTGGTGAGAGTCTCAAGACAGGGAACGAAATGCGCTGCTCACGTAAGGTAATCACAAACGACCCATATAGAGTCAAAACCATGCGATTGTGGCAGTTTGACGATGAAGTCCATGGAGATGGAGTGCCAGGGCCTATTGGGGATATCGAGAGGCTGGAGCAGGTCATATGGCTTGTGCCGGGGGGTTTTGATGCAGGCACAGGTGTCACAAGCAGAGACATATTAACGAACAAAAGTGCGCATACCGGGCCATGAGTAGTCGCGTTTGATGAGACTGAGCATGCACGCTGGACCAGGATGTCCAGCGGTGAGCGCATCATGACAGGATTTCAGGATTTCAGCTCGAAGAGGTAGTGGGACATACAAACGACCCTTGTGGAAAATGAGGTTGTCTTGAATGGAGAAGTCCTCATTTCCAGTGGCTGCGGCTTCGCGCCACTCGATATCATGCTTGGTTGTGTCCTTGAAGCATTCGAGAAGCTCAGAGTTATCTATTGCGAGAGCGACCAAGGATGCGATCATGGCAGAGGAAGCAGTTGAATGAGTGCACAGGGTGTTGTTCGGGTAGATACGCTCCATGTGACTTTCCGTGAGAAGCGTTTTGCGCTGTTGTAGAAGTATGTCGTCCCCCACTTGAGGTGTGAAGTCGGAACGATGGGATGGAGCGTCGGCAGGGTTGTGAGAACCAGGTGCGTAGTTAAGACAAAAATTGAATTCTGAGAGGAACATTGACCAGCGAGCCTGGCGGCGATTGAGAACACGAGAAGACATGAAATATTTGAGATTCTTGTGATCCGAGATGATAGAGACAGGCATCGACATGCCAATGAGCCAGGCATGCATATCGTGGAAAGAGTTGACGATAGCAAGCAGTTCCTTATCGTAGACTTCATAATTGATTTCAGCAGGTGAGAGCTTGCGTAAGAAGTAGGCCACTGGGTGGAGGAGACCGTTTGCGTCAGGCTGCAGGTGGATGCCAGCGATCGTGAAGTCAGAAGCATCGGTCACCAGTGTGGATGGAAGCGAAGGGTCAAAATGTCAGAGCACAGGAGCAGACAAGAAGGCGGTCTTGAGAGTTTCAAAAGAGACGCAGGTGGGCTGGTGTGAACGAGAAGGTGGTTGATGTCTTCTTAGTAAGCTCATTGAGAGCCAATGCTTTGTCCGCGTATTTCTCAATAAACCTGCGATAGAAGTTTGTGAACCCAAGGAAGGCTTGAATGTCACGAAGCGAGCGGGGCACAGGCCAATCGGAGACAGTTTGGAGTTTCTTGGGATTCATTTTGATTTCTTCAGAACTGACAATATAGCCAAGGTATTCGACGGACGTCTTGTCGAATTCGCATTTCTTTGCATTTGCATAGAGTCCAGCTGCTTGTAATCGTTGTAGGACCTGTTGGACATGGGCATCATGCTCAGCTTGTGTGCAAGAGAAAATGAGTATGTCGTCAAGGTAGACGACACAGGTGACATCCAAGAGGTCACGAAGCATGTCTTGAATGAACGCTTGGAAGGTGGCAGGAGCATTGGTGAGGCTGAACGGCATAACTGTGTACTCGAAGAGATTCAAGTGAGTGTGAAAGGCAGTCTTCCATTCATCACCTTCACAGATGCAGATGAGGTTGAAAGCGTTTTTGAGGTCAAGGACAGAGAAGACTTTGCAGCCTTCGACACGATCAAGGAGGTCGTTTACGAGAGGAAGAGGATAGTGATTCTTTTTTGTCATAGAGTTGAGACCGTGATAGTCCACGCAGAGGCACAGTTCACCCATTTTCTTGCGTATGAACAGAATGGGAGAAGCTGCCAGAGAAGAAGAACACCGTATGAAACCTTTCTTGAGGTTGGTTTTGATATAGTCAAACAGCGCAGTGCGTTCATCTTGCAAAAGTGAGTAAATCGAGCCAAACGGAGGAGTTTTGCCTTCGTCGAGGTCAATAGTCATATCATAGGGTCGATGAGGAGGCAGTTGGTCGACGTCTGTCAGAGAGAAGACGGAAGCCCAAGGAAGGTATTTCGATGGGATAGAGGCCAGAACTGCATCGTTCGCAGTACGAGAGGAGTCAGGAGGAGGTTCTGGTGGGGGCAGAGATGACGGAGAGTTATGTGTCAGAGAATCGACATCGATAGCACAGATGGTGTGGTTGAGTTCTGAGTTAGGCGTGTACCAAATAAGACTGATGCTGCCAGATTTGGCATAGCGAGCAAAGCGAGAAGTGTTGATGAGAGAGATGTTTACAGATGGCAGTGGCGGAGCATCCTCAGCCGAAGGAAGGAGAGCTGAAAAGAACTGTTTGTGACCAAAGCCAGAAACAGGGTGGCGTGAAGGAAGTAGTGGAGTGGAGGATATAGCAACAGTGCTTAGAATGCCTCCAACAGGGTGTCACGGACGTTCCTTGCTAGAAGCAGTGAAGGGAATCGTCGGACAAAAAGCAGCACCAGGTAGACCGAGGCCTAGACCGACAGAAGTAGTGGAGAGTGCTGAACTGAGAGTGGTTGGCGAGCGATGTACAAGACCAGAGCCTTGACAAGTGGTGGGAGGAACTGGGGAGGTAGCTCCACAGCAGGAGAGAGAGAGTTGGTCATGGGCCCAGTCAACTGCAGGATCATGTCGTCGCAGTCAGTTGAGGCCAAGGATGATGGGATAAGGGACAGAGATGACTGAGAGGGCAATGTGCTCATCATGGTTGTGTACGTGAAGTCACGTGATGACATCATGTGTGATGAGTCTGGATGCAATCAGTCGTTCATCGACAGCTGTGATGGGAGTGGGAACATCTTTAAGTGAGCGAGGAAGTGAATGTCATTGCAAGAAATGATCAGAAATGCACGAGGTAGTCACCCCAGAGTCAACTAGTGCAAAAGTTTGAATAGGTTTTCGGTTGGGAAAGGCGAGAGAGACATTGATAAAGAAGTGATCAGTGTCATGAATGGAGCAGATAACGTGAGGCGAAAGCCGAAAAGTGGGCACGTTAGCGGCGTGCAGAACCCAGGACCTGGCCGTGGTCTTGACATGAGTTCTTGAGGGGACCACAGACAAGGAACAACGTGCAGTCCCTGGTGTTCCCGGAGGCTCTGGGACATTTAATGAGCCCCTGGCTTCCCTTTTCCCTGCTGGGAAGAGGAGCCAGATGAAGAAGACACAGCATTGCACTTTGAAAGGGCTGTGCAAGCAGTAATCTCATGCTTACCGCTGCAGTACCCGCATAACCCCAAGCTGCGACGGCACTGCTTCTCTTCAGTGGAGAGTGGGCCACGATAGTGAATGGCGTCGACCTTCATAGGGACAGGGTTGGTCGAGGCTGGAGTGTACAATGTGGTAGAAAGGTGCAGCTGGTGAGGAGCAGCGGGAACAGGGAGAATCGACATTATGTTCTTTCGATCGACGTTGAGCTCTTGTGCATGCACGTAGATGCAATTGTCGAAGGTGATTGCTTGCACGACATAGTCGTCAAAGGTGGTGGGTGATTGTATCATGAGGAAAAGTGCCTTGACATCATCCTTGAAACCCTTCTTGAACATATTGATCTTGATGAGGTCATCATGGATAGGGAGATGGACGAGGATTTTGTGGAAAGCAGATGCGTACTTCGCAGCAGAGGCATGTTGGATGAGTTTCTTGATCTTCTCCATTTGGCTATTGACAAAGTCAGAGTCGCCGAAGTGCTTGCGGAAGTCCTCGACAAGTGCAGCATGGTCATTGAGAAGTTCGGGCTTGGTTTTCTCGATAGCCCAGAACCAGGACTTGGGGGAACCATCCTTGAGCCAAGTGCTCATGTAGAGGCTCTTGTCATAGTCAGTCACCAGATGACAGTGAGCAAGGTGCATAGCATTGCGAAGATCAAGGAGAAAAGGCTCGACCGCTGCGGGCATACCGTTGAAAGCGCGAGGGTCTTTGAAGCGGATGACACCTGAGGGAGTAGTGCCCGAGGTGCCTGAAGTAGGCGTCGTGCTTTGCAAAGCTGTTGCTATATTTGCCAATGCTGTCTGGATAGAGGCCTGATTGGCAGCGAAGGCAGTCTGGGCCCCAGCAAGGCTGTTGATAGCATTTACCACCTGAGCAAGGGCCTGCAAGGCCGGGGGATCGTCAGCACCTATGGGGACAGCAGAGATGGCACTGGGAGCCTGGGCCTGAGGCTGAACAGGAGGAGGGCCAAAGAGAGTCTCCAGATCAATAGCGATATCGTCGGAAGACATGGTGGAAGAGGTTCAGCAAGAGAAAGTACGAAGGTTTGACAGCGAAGATGAGAGTTACCAAATATGGCAAGTGCATGACCGAAAGAGGAAGTTGGTGGCAGGAACCAATTGTAATGGCTCAACTCAGGAGATAAGGACGACACGAGGAGCAAAGGCAATGAGGAACAAAGAGGATAAATAAAAGAGTACGTCGAGAAACTACTGGCGTTGTTCCTGCGATGATTCCCGGAGGATGAAAGCATTACTAAGAAAGAATATAAGGATGATCTCATAAGCAGAAGCAGATGCAAGAGTCATCTGAAGGAAACCAAGCATGACTAGAACATCGTCTACAATGTCTGTGTCCAAAAGAAGAATATCTGCCTCGAGGCTATCCAACCTCGAGTAGTCGAGAGCGTGCTGCAGAGCGGATGCAACTAATGAGGAATGGAACGTACAGTGACGGAAGAGCATCGGGAGTCCGCAGTGTGTCTGTAGCATGACAGAGATCATGACACAATTGAAAGTCACAGTGTTTGACAGAAGCCATCACTGACAGTTGATCATCATATAGGCTCATGAACATGAGTTTCTTGTATGACATGAGATTTTCTTGTCATTCCTGGTGCAAGTGTTAACATTGAATGCTTGTTTTCTGCTCACTGTCATGTGCGTGCTGATGCACACAGCTCCTTAAGAGCCTCAACAATCACAGAGGCTGCCCACAGCTGAGTAGAACTCTACCAAAAGATGAGACCAAAAAAAACTATATAAACTCTATATAAACTGTTTATATGACATATAGACAACTATTTACTATATACTATTTATTTACACCTCAGGAGTGTAAATCGTATAAATAGTTGGAGCCTTAGTAGTGACTGTGCAGGTTACAAACTCTTTCACATTTAAGGCCTCAACGACTTCAGCAGGATGTCACCGGATGAAAGAGCTAAGAAAGATGTGATGAAAGCGAGGACACACACAACTATTGATGTTGAGCAAGTGTTATGAAGCCTTCTCTTGTGAACCTTCTGACCCATGTTGTCACAGATTTTCACGTCTTTCAATCTGCACGTGACTAGGACATCATATGACATCAGCGCTAGGCTGTTCAGAAAGGAACGAACTGGTACGCGAAGTACTAACAGTCCTAGGCACCCTGAAGGTCCAGGTCTAGTCATGTGACATATCACGTGATATCCACACATGTGACAAGTAGCGCTGGTGTTAGATAAGCCTAACTTATACAGTAATATCATCTCACCTAGAAGCAACGGTCAGACTCTGGAAGAACCCAAGGACGGAGGCACACACCACCAGAGATATGTCCTTAAGGGGATATTAGTTCACATACATGAGGTAGATAGATACCACGCCACTGGAGATGTAGCCATTACAGGCAATACCATTCCCATGGTCTTACTAAGTAGTTCAAAGATTCGGCATGCATGACACACGTAGTCTGACAGGTAGTGATAACCAATCAGACAATATCCATTAGCTAGCAGTTCTGGGGTATCAGGGTACCAAGGGTCCCTC